TGTAACATAAATTATCAAGTTTAGTTATTTTTATTTCTTTATTGCAAAACGTTAAAACTTGGCACCGTTTTGGAGAGAAATGGGCTCTCATTTTAACCCATATCATGGTGTGTGATGCTGAACTATGAGTTTCTAATGGTGTTTGTATTTGCACTGTTTTAAACATTAATATTTCATGTGCAACAACAGCATGCTGTCGCAGTGGCCTTACACATGATTTTAAATCTATTTTTTCAAACTTTATGATTTAAATGGGGATGATTGTACTGAGAATAACTCATCTTTTCTTCAACTGAATACTGTTTCCGTGCTGTTTTGATGTATTTTAAAGAGTTGGCAGTCAAAATTAAAACTGCTGGATGATAGATATTCTTCGTTCTTTATGACAAACAAGATAATGTGAATTACAGAATGTACAACGTTTTTCAAATGTATCAATTGCGGTGTACAATGTTTATTATGAGGGGGTAATCTACATCTCAGTACACACTAGGGGAGAGCGGTGCACAAAGTAACGCGGGGTAAGTTGTAACACACATGGTTTAAATATTTCCACACATGCTAGCATAACCAAATTTACAGCATTTACTAGTTACTATATCAACATTATATAGAGAAAAAAAGTGCGCCAAAATTCAAAAGTCTTTTGAAGATATCGCTGAACATTTATTTTACCATAGTAAAATTATATTTCTGGCTTAAGTACATTTTTCATCTCAGTTTTTATTACTCATTTAAACATTTTTTTATTAAAAATTTCTTTTTGTAATGCTTCCCTAACTATCAGAAGACAGTAACCGGTTTTAAATTCCAGTTGCGCAGATGGGGCACGATGTAACACTGCGTTACAATGTGCCCTGCCGTGCTATTCTATGACATTAGCGATGTAATTCACACTATTTACTTTGATAAATGTTAATGATAAACGACGAGAAACAGGTGAATAAAGACTGACAGTCAATGTTTAATGTTAAAAAATTATTATTTTAAGACATGTAAAGCATTTTGGCTCATTTATGTGGGCCGTCCCAAGCATGGTCGCAATGTGTTCATTGTCAAATTCCAAAGTCAGATTATTTTTAATTCTTAAAAAACGCCATTATTTTATTTGAAATAAATAATTTTATTATTTTATTGACAAAATATTTTAGTTTGTCTTGTATATTTTTTTCATATGAAAAAAACACATGACTGTTTTATGGTCATGTTACAACGTGCCCCTCAGCTGTTACAATGTACCCCACCTACGGGGCATGTTGTCACATTTCACTTCCAATTTTTTTTACTGTGGATAAAAAAATTATACTCTGAACCCCATGTGGATTTAGACAATTTGAGAAAGTCAAGTGTTACTTTGTGCCCCGCTCTCCCCTACTCAATACTCATGAGTACTTTTAAATAGGCTACTCTTTTACTCTTACTCAAGTAGTTTTTTGGACAAGTACTTTTACTCTACTCACACTACGTTTTTTGGAAGGTAATGGTACTTTTACTTGAGTATATGTTTTCAGTACTCTTTCCACCACTGGTGGCCAACAAATGCAACCTCTGGAGGACGCAGCCTCCGAAATGAGACGCAGCTATCATTTGACTTTTCATTGTGGTCCTAACTACCTCATTGAGCTTCTTGACTTCATCCTCTTGTTCCATTCTCAGGGCGTTCGCCCGTTCCAACAGGTACTGAGCCCGGTCTCTTGCCTCTGCCTCGAGTTCACTGAGGTTCTGGTTCTTCTGCCGAGATAGGTCCGCCTGACGCATCTGTGCTTTTCTCTGCTCTGCAGAATCCTGACACAATGACAACAACTAGATTTACTTATCTTGAAGAAAACAGCCATGCTTGGAAGACAGCCAAAGAAAAATGTTTGGGCCATACACAGACAGTTTTGTGGGCAATGGAAGGAAGTCTTTTTTTTCAACTTGAGAACCATGTTTTTAGAATGCTGTGTCATGTGTGAGATGTTGAAGCAAAACATTTTTACATAAAAAAACTCGAAAAGCAGTGCAGTTGAATACAAAAACCAAGTCTACATGGTAAGGTTCGTTCTGTGTAAATCAAATGATGCTTCAACCAGAGCCTTGGTTGCTATAAGTATAATTTTTTTTTTTCAGCTGCACACAAGAATCAACAAATTAATTTGTAGCTTGTTAAAATTCTTTAAAAGCGTTAAGTTACAGTTGTTTTTAATTGCTTTTGTACAATTTTCACAAGGTTTTTTTTTTTAGTACTAATGTGAGATTAGTACAAAAAAAAAAAACTTGTGAAAATTGTACAAAAGCAATTAAAAACAACTGTAACTTAACGCTTTTAAAGAATTTTATGGATCATCAAAAAAAGCCGTTTTAAAAACATTTCAGAAAAAGATCACAAAGTATCCTTTTCATAACACATAATAGGGGATTCATCTATATAAAGTTTTAATACACATTAACTGCCTTTTTCATAACGCTAATACAATCAAACTTTGCATACGCATCTCTTCCCATTCAGTTTAATACATTTGTTTATCATTAATGTCAGGGTTTTACCCTGGCAGCCATGTCTGTGTTCCACATTTCTATTGTCTTCTTCTTGGGTTTTACTCTTCTAAAATGAGGTAACCTCAATGGCAATAGTCCACAAATGGCACATCCTTCAAATTGTCCTCCTCCACTGTGATTGGATGGCTGACTAAAAAGTGACAGTGATGAGTGCTGCGTTTTACCCCAATGTGAACATGCTTCAACTCTTGGCACAGAAAAAAAAAATCACCCAAGCACTCAGTGTGAAAAAGATGCTCAGCGCCTCGTCACTGCTGGCATTTAAAAAAATGTGGCACTCCCATTGAAAACAACTGAAAAAAATATGCTAGCCTCGGGAAAAAAAACTTTGGTGGACACACGGCCTAAAAGTTATTTTTATAATAGCTACTTTTCTGAAATGAGACAACCTTGATGATGTACGAGGCTGACGAATGCGACCTCTGAAAAAAGCATCCTTTGAAAAGTGATGTGCTACCCTGTCCTGCCTCCTTGATTTTGATTCCTTGGGGCCACGCCCCATTGTTTAACCATTGTCCAGTACTCATTCAGTTAAAGGTGCACTAAGGGATTTTTGCCAAACGATGTTAATATTTGAAAGCACCAAAACAAACACGCCCATAGCCCAACAGGACCCCGTACCGATTTTGAAATCTCTGCCCCACACGTACGTACACAACCATGGCATAACGATGATCGCGGAAACAAGCTAAGATGACACACAAGCATATTCAAACAAAAGCCTGCTGCGTTTTACCCCAATGTGAACATGCTTCAACTCTTGGCACAGAAAAAAAAAATCACCCAAGCACTCAGTGTGAAAAAGATGCTCAGTGCCTCGTCACTGCTGGCATTTAAAAAAATGTGGCACTCCCATTGAAAACAACTGAAAAAAATATGCTAGCCTCGGGAAAAAAAACTTTGGTGGACACACGGCCTAAAAGTTATTTTTATAATAGCTACTTTTCTGAAATGAGACAACCTTGATGATGTACGAGGCTGACGAATGCGACCTCTGAAAAAAGCATCCTTTGAAAAGTGATGTGCTACCCTGTCCTGCCTCCTTGATTTTGATTCCTTGGGGCCACGCCCCATTGTTTAACCATTGTCCAGTACTCATTCAGTTAAAGGTGCACTAAGGGATTTTTGCCAAACGATGTTAATATTTGAAAGCACCAAAACAAACACGCCCATAGCCCAACAGGACCCCGTACCGATTTTGAAATCTCTGCCCCACACGTACGTACACAACCATGGCATAACGATGATCGCGGAAACAAGCTAAGATGACACACAAGCATATTCAAACAAAAGCCAACACAGAGTTGAAAAATCAACGTTACTCACCTATCAAGAAGAAAAAACAATGCAACCTCGGTCTCCGATTCGAGCCCTTCCCACTTCTTGGAGTTCTCTCCACAGCTGGAAAGCTACTACTGATATTTACGCAGGTCCTACCTCTTGCCTGATCATAACCCTTCTTTTTAATATTTTGTTTCTCTGATACTTTCCTCTTTTTTTTTATCTGCCATTTCTCGCAATCTATAGTCGATCTGCTAATATCCGTCCTGTGCACTCAAACTGAGAGCTCTCTTCTCCCTGTCATTACAAGACACGCTCCCTTACTGCTGATTGGCTACAAGTGTGTTTTGGGACATGGTCCGACGCTGTGGTCAAAAGCGGTTTTTTTTTTTTTAAATCGCTTAGTGCACCATTAATTGTTTTCACCTGTTCCTCATGTGTTCGCTTTCATTTCGTTTTGTTGGTTTGTTTTGTGCTGCATTAAGATTTCTTTAATTCCATTTACACTCTAAACGCTCTGACACAATAAACCAGTGGTCGGCCACCAACCAAGGTTAGACCATTGGCACTAGTCAGAACCGTTGGACCACATCAGGGGCTTTTTTGGCCACTTGAGCATATTGAATCGTGTCTATCGGGTACTATCGTGAGAGAGATTCAGATGTTAATTTGCACGAACAAGTCAGTGCACAAGAATAAAAGCGAAAGTGATGAAACTAAGCAAAGAAGTCAAGTCAGCACAGACAAAAGTGACAGCAGCTTATATATGTGCTGCTATCCATATTAATCAAACAACATAGGACAAATCACTCACTGCTTTTGGCTGAGTAACTTTAATTGTAAGGATTAATCTGTATTTGTTTATAGAATGAAGACTATCCAGTGTTATTTTACATTTGATTACGTTATTCAATTTATGTACCTGAATACTACTGTTAGACCTACCTAAAAAAAAAAACCTTTAGAAAAAACTAAAAAGCATTATTTCACTTATTTTTTGCTTATTCAATCAGTTCTTTTTTTGTGCTATTGTTTGCAATTTATTTATTTGTTCTATTTAATATCTAATTACTGCCTGTTTACTTCTCATTTTTAGTTAAAATAAGTTGAAGTTTTACCCCATACCACCATCTAGAGTTGCATTTTTTTGTCTTTCTAATAACATAAATTCACCAGTTACAGTACATATAATCAGGTTGAGCAAATATTAAGCATATTTGGCATGCTGTCCGAGGGGAGGGCTCCCAGCTTGGAATATAGCCCGAACCCAGAGAACTCACCTATCCCTAAGCTGGGAAAAGAATAGTTAAGAGGGAGAAGTTGGGGTGTAGGAGGGATGCTGGAAAACTGTCAAGGGACAGAGGTGAGTTGGCTGTATATATATTTATTGTGCTAATTGACTATCTAAATGAGCTCCACCTGTGCTGAATTTGTTGATTATCTGAACGTGCTCCTCCCAGATTTGTTAATAAAACATTATGCATTAACAAATAATTATATAAATTGTATAAATAAATAAATACTTTGATTGTGCTAACCCTTACATTACATGTAATAATGATTTTGTGTTTTCAAACAATTATTATGTGGAAAGGAATAATGTACAAATGGAATGAAAGCATGAGATCAGATTTTTAAATAATAACTAGCTGTGTTAAATGTGATCCGTTTGGAAAATGTACCGCTTACTTGTTTAAATAACCCTTCTTTTTAATGTTTTGTTTCTCTGATACTTTCCTCTTTTTTTTATCTGCCATTTCTCGCAATCTATAGTCGATCTGCTAATATCCGTCCTGTGCACTCAAACTGAGAGCTCTCTTCTCCCTGTCATTACAAGACACGCTCCCTTACTACTGATTGGCTACAAGTGTGTTTTGGGACATGGTCCGACGCTGTGGTCAAAAGCGGTTTTTTTTTTTTTAAATCGCTTAGTGCACCATTAATTGTTTTCACCTGCTGATTGGCTACAAGTGTGTTTTGGGACATGGTCCGACGCTGTGGTCAAAAGCGGTTTTTTTTTTTTTTAAATCGCTTAGTGCACCATTAATTGTTTTCACCTGTTCCTCATGTGTTCGCTTTCATTTCGTTTTGTTGGTTTGTTTTGTGCTGCATTAAGATTTCTTTAATTCCATTTACACTCTAAACGCTCTGACACAATAAACCGGTGGTCGGCCACCAACCAAGGTTAGACCATTGGCACTAGTCAGAACCGTTGGACCACATCAGGGGCTTTTTTGGCCACTTGAGCATATTGAATCGTGTCTATCGGGTACTATCGTGAGAGAGATTCAGATGTTAATTTGCACGAACAAGTCAGTGCACAAGAATAAAAGCGAAAGTGATGAAACTAAGCAAAGAAGTCAAGTCAGCACAGACAAAAGTGACAGCAGCTTATATATGTGCTGCTATCCATATTAATCAAACAACATAGGACAAATCACTCACTGCTTTTGGCTGAGTAACTTTAATTGTAAGGATTAATCTGTATTTGTTTATAGAATGAAGACTATCCAGTGTTATTTTACATTTGATTACGTTATTCAATTTATGTACCTGAATACTACTGTTAGACCTACCTAAAAAAAAAAACCTTTAGAAAAAACTAAAAAGCATTATTTCACTTATTTTTTGCTTATTCAATCAGTTCTTTTTTTGTGCTATTGTTTGCAATTTATTTATTTGTTCTATTTAATATCTAATTACTGCCTGTTTACTTCTCATTTTTAGTTAAAATAAGTTGAAGTTTTACCCCATACCACCATCTAGAGTTGCATTTTTTTGTCTTTCTAATAACATAAATTCACCAGTTCACACTTACAGTACATATAATCAGGTTGAGCAAATATTAAGCATATTTGGCATGCTGTCCGAGGGGAGGGCTCCCAGCTTGGAATATAGCCCGAACCCAGAGAACTCACCTATCCCTAAGCTGGGAAAAGAATAGTTAAGAGGGAGAAGTTGGGGTGTAGGAGGGATGCTGGAAAACTGTCAAGGGACAGAGGTGAGTTGGCTGTATATATATTTATTGTGCTAATTGACTATCTAAATGAGCTCCACCTGTGCTGAATTTGTTGATTATCTGAACGTGCTCCTCCCAGATTTGTTAATAAAACATTATGCATTAACAAATAATTATATAAATTGTATAAATAAATAAATACTTTGATTGTGCTAACCCTTACATTACATGTAATAATGATTTTGTGTTTTCAAACAATTATTATGTGGAAAGGAATAATGTACAAATGGAATGAAAGCATGAGATCAGATTTTTAAATAATAACTAGCTGTGTTAAATGTGATCCGTTTGGAAAATGTACCGCTTACTTGTTTAAATAGTTAAAGGGAATTAAAATAAACCGCAGTAAAGACCCAAAATAGACTGCACACCTCAAGACAAATGTATCTATAATACCAATTTTGAATGTAGTCTGAACAAAGGACTTTATGCAGATTGACTGGCTACGTATTTCTACTGAAACCTCACTGTTCCGTGGGCTTCTGTTATAGCATTCTCCCATAGCAAACTGTAGTAGTAGCAAACTCTGTCATATTGTTAATAGCTGTTGAACACAACATGTATTATAATATAGCATATTATAAATACTGTTTAGCCACAACATTAAAACCACCTGCCCAATATTGTGTAGGTCCCCTTCATGCTGCTAAAACAGCTGTGATGTGTCGAGGCATTGACTCCACAAGACCTCCAAATATGTCCTGTGGTATCTGACACCAAGACATTAGCAGAAGATCCTTTAAAACCTCCATATTACGAGTTGGGGCAACCATGGATTGGATTTATTGGTCCAGTAAATCCCAAAGATTAGACTGAGATCTGGACGAATTTGGAGGCCAAGGCAACACCTTGATCACTTTATCATGTTCCTTTGGAGGTGGACTTAGGTCATCACGAGCACTCTGACCAGTCTTCAGCTGCACAGCCCTATACACAGCAAACTGCGATGCTTGCCCATTTTTCCTGTTTCTATCATATAAAATTAACGAACTGACTGTTGATTTGCTGCCTAATATATCTCACCCCTTGACAGATCCCATTGTAACAATACAATATAATCAATGTTATTCACTTCACCTGTAAGTGGTTTTAATGTTAGGGCTGATCAGTGTAAAAAAAAAAAACCTAGAGTACACGTAACATTGTAGTATATTATATAAAAAAATAATGTCATGCATTCATTTGGGGTTCAAACATATAATTATGACTCACCATGGCTTCCTCACGGGCTTGGCGTTGGACCTGTAGCACAGCTGCCTCCTCCTCTTCACTAGGAACATGAGACTCCACCAGGATTCGCCTGAACTCAGCTGTGGACAGGATGACAGACTGCCCAGATGGGTCCTCATTTGGGATTCTGGTTCAACAACCAAAGAATGAGCATAAAAATAGTGCAAGCAGTGAAAACACAAAACATGACGTACTGGGATAAAAACATGCACTTACCTCCCAGTGGGCAACTGATGATGAAAAGACATAAATTTGACATAAAATTTAACGTAAAAAAACAGGTCAAATATGCAAATCAAACTGACGTCAAAAACCTGACATTAAAATCGATCTGATGTAAATTGAATGGCAAACATATTGGCCTATATATTCATTAAACCAATTTCAGTGTGGGATAACTTACCCAATTGCCACTGGAAATATATTATTTATTTATTTCAGTGGTCCCCAGCCACATTCCTGGAGCCCCCCAACACTGCACATTTTGCATCTCTCCTTTGTCTGACAACCCCATTTCAGGTCTTGAATTCTCTACCAATGAACTGATGATCGGAATCAGTGCGTTTGATTAAAGAGACATGGAAAACATGTAGTGTTGGGGGGCTCCAAGAACGAGGCTGAGAATCCCTGATTTATTTAATAATATTTAAAATGACTGAATCAACTTGGACTGTAGAGTTCAAGATACTTTTGTACTGATACTTTTAGATACTAAAAATAATAATTAAACACATACAATGATGTACTTTGGCAGTTTTCTAATTCTTTTTTTTTTATCATGACTAGTTTAATGATTATGCACTAATATAACAATGATGAAACAACAACACACAGAAGCATGTAGCCTATGACTACAATGTCAAGTTATTTTGACTCTGTGCAATTATTTCTGTGCAAAACTCTCTGACACTTGGTTTAAGTCAGTGTCCGAACAGGTAATGCAAATACCTCAATAAGGATAACTACATGTAACCACACTGCAAAAACCCGTTGCTTCTACTTGCCTGAGGTCCCTGATAAGGTCTTTAGTGATGATGCGCACTGTCTCTAAATTTGGCTCTTTGGGTGCAGGAGCAGAGCGTGTCCTCAATCTCACGCTTCCGCCTTCAGGATCGTCTTTCATATCACCAGCAGAATGCTGAGACAAAAGACAGTTGAGTCTTCCTTTTTATTTTCATTCAATGTCCAAGACAATGTCCATTGTGCAGTAGGCTTATTTCTACCTGTTTTGGTGTCCCAAAGAGGGTCTCATCCACATGAGAGGTGAGGGCTCGTGTGCGGTAGCGGCGAGTGAAAGTGCTGCTGCCCGACTGCTTTCCACATGAGGATGTGGCACTTTGAGGCTGAAAAGCATGAGGCATGCGAATCTTAAGGAATTTAATGATTCCTTTATTATCTTTGAGGAACAAATGCCAAGAACAACTAGTGAGAAGCTGTATGATTTAAGTCTCATGAACCTTTAACACACACACACTTGTATAAATGAGTCTACTCCACCAAGCTACTATTATAAGCATGAGCCCCGTCAGACTGGTCGTGGCAGTGGTGTTGCAACAACATATAGTGATATTCTCAATGTTACTCAGAAGACAGGATACAGGTTTAACTCATTCGAAATACTAATGCTTAATGTTACACTGTCAGATATGCAAAAGAAATCGATCGTATCTCTTGCTCTGGCTACTGTGTATAGACCACCAGTGCCGTATACAGATTTCCTAAAAGAATTTGCAGATTTCCTCTCAGACCTATTGATTACTGTTGATAAAGCGCTAATTGTCGGAGATTTTAATATTCACGTTGATAACACAAATGATGCATTAGGACTTGTGTTTACTGACCTAAAAAAATCTCTTTTGGAGTCAAGCAAAATGTCACCGGGCCCACTCATCATTTTCATATTGAAAAAGGTTAGAGAAAAACGTACAGCGCCATGGTACTACAGTAATACCCATTCTCTCAAGAAAAAAACTCATAGTCTTGAGCGCAAATGGAGAAAAACTAACTTGGAAGTTTTTAGAATTGCG